CTCTTCATATGAATAAATTTATTTAGTCTTCAAAGGATGAAAGTGTTATTATTATACCCATTGTCTGTATGGGGAAACTGAGGCATAAAGCAATTTGTTCAACTTCATGTAGCTGAAATGGGGAAAAGACAGGACTCAAACTTGAGAAATCTAATTCTGGAGTCCACATTCTTAACTACAATGTAATGAAAATAAGAACAAAAACTAGCAATGTATTCACCAATAAAATTATATTTCACATTAATAAAATGATAGCATCTCGTTGGTTGTCTTAACAACTCAGTACTGCTTTAATAGACATACCACAAGTAGATGGTTTTAACAAATAGAGATTTATTCGCTCGCAGTTGAGGAGGCTAGAAGTCCGAATTCAGAGCAGTATCTCTGAGGAAAGGTCCTTGTCTCCTTTTATCATGTTGTTGTTGTTGTTAAGTGCCGTGGAGTCAGTTCCAACCCATAGTGACCCTGCACAGGGTTTCCGAGGCTGTAAATCTTTATGGGAACAGAAAGCCTCATCTTTGTCCCGTGGAATAGCTGGTAGTTTTGAACTGCTGACCTTGTGGTTCACAGCCCAATTTGTAACCACTACGCTACCAGAGCTCCTTCCTTTCATCATAAGTGGGGTCCAAAATTCCTGGGAGTTCTCTGTGTGCCTTGGCATTAGTCTTTCTCTGAATCCAGCAATTTCACAGTTTAGGGACCCCAGGACACACTCTACTCTTAGCTCTTCTGTTTTGGTGGCAGTGAGTCCCTGTTATCTCTGCTGACTTCTCCCTCCTTTTTATATCTCAAAAGAGATGACTCAAAATACATCCTAATCCTGTAGATTGCATCTGGCCTCATTAACATCATAAAAGTGAAGATTTGCAAAACACAGGATAATTATATCTGATCAAGGATGACCACATCAGATTACATTATATTAGATCTCATTATGGAGATTACTCCATCTTAACTAATGAACCAATGTTAATTCAGGCCCAGTCAAGTTGACACAAAACCTTAACAACAACACTGATATACCTAAAAGAATATTTAAGTAATTGGGAATATCCATCATCTTCCTGAGAGGGATTTCTTAGTGTATATTTTATCTGTCTTCAAAATTCAGTTCAGAGCTGATCGCTTCTAATCAGAGCAGTACTACAGTCTGTGTTCAGATTTTGGTTATAATTGATCCTTGTCTTATCAGGCATGTAGGTAAAAATTACCTCTACGTTGAAATATGGAAATATCTCCTGTACCCATAACTTCATATCCCTTCTGACTGTACAGGCTCTTATCACTTCACCTCTGAGTTACTTTTATAGTCCCTTTGCCTGTTCTCTTTGTGTCTATTCTTTCCTCTGCTTTATTCTATCTTCTACCCAAGGTCTTCAATTTGACTTTAACATATTCTTTTAATAGCTTCCTACTTCTTTTAATATCAAATTTATGCTTTATCTGCATTTCTTGTTTCCAAACATTATCTCCTGTTGCCTGATAAACTACATTTCTGACATTTTTTGTCACCCACATTTTTGTCACCCACAATCCACCTCAATGAGATGAATTAGCATGGTGGCAGCAGCAACAGGCTCAAACATAGCAATGATTGCAAGGTTGGCATGGGACTGGGCAGTATTTTGTTTTGTTGTGCGTAAGATTGCTATGAGTTGTTACCAACTTGACAGCACCTAACAACAACACATTTTCCTCTATAAATCAAGTTCTCTACACTTCACTTTGGAGATTTTTGTTGCCGTAAATCTGCTGTCATTACTCAAGATTTTTGTTTAATTCCTCCCTTCACTGTGAAGCCTTCCATTCTGACCAAGTCCTGACTTAGTTTCTACCACCCTGTTGTTGTTAGGTGCCATTGAGTCACTACTGACTCATATTGACCCTATGTACAACAGAATGAAACACTGCCCAGTCCTGGACCAACCTAGCAATTGTTGCCACGCTTGAGCCCATTGATGCTGCCATATTGCCAATCCATCTCCCTAGGGGTTTTCTTCTGTAATCTGCATCATATCATGCCTGTCCCATTACACTAAACAGGTTTTTCATTATGTAACCTATCACATTTGCAATTGTTCTGAGATAAAAATCTTATCCCCCTAACTTGATTGTAACCTCCTGAAACAAAGTTATTTTCTTTGCTCTCTCCCAATAGCATAGTCATGGTCTATTGTTCTATTTTTAGCCCTTCAGTTATCTGTAGAAAATTAATTGGGTTTCAGTTACCAGAGATCTAACTGTGGCAAATCACACAAGTAGTTTTTTTGTTTTATTTTGTTTTCATGGAATGAATAATCTGAAAATGGAGACAACTGACATTGTTTCAGAAACTTAAATGTCCAAACTGCAATTTTTCCTGGTCTTTCCCTGAGGGTCTAATGTGGGTGCAGAATCACTACCTATCAAGTCTGTAAAAGGATGGAGGGGGCGGGAAGAGACCCATTTTAAGGAACTTTCCCTAACCCCAACTATTTATATTCTATTTGTATCTCATTGATATTTCATCTCTTTTGGGAAAGCTTGTTGTGGGAGGCATGAGTGGCATGACATTTTAATACCATCTTTTGTGTTATTCACACTTGATGTGATACCCAGATCCCCTTGGAAATTCTTGTACTTATTCTCCCAGATCCAGGAGGTGCTGCTGGTTAACTTAGCTCTTTATTTTATTTTTTAAGGTTTGGATATATATATTTTAACTATTTATAGCATTGGTTTCAACCAATATTTGTCTATTTGTGATTGACTAATTTCACTCAGCATAGTGTCCTCCAGATTTAACCATGTTATGAGATATTTCACAGATTCATCATTCTTCTTCAACATTTGTATTATTCCATTGTGTGTATGTAATCCACTGGGGAAGGAAGAGGGAGGGGATGAAAGAGGGAAAGAGGAGAAATAAGGCCTGAAACAACTTTTATGACTTGACTCAGTACACTGTAACTTCCCAATGAATAGCTCGTAAAAGTGTCTCATCCTTTTTGACCAGCTATTTAGATCTAAATCAGTGGAAGGACAGAGGAGAGTCTGTCCAGTCATTTGTTCTGAGAACCTGGGGTGCAGACTGTGAACAAAGTACTAAATGTGAAGCTTTTCTACAGAAAGCTTCCCTATTTTCCAGATCATTCCATGCAGTGAACACTTTGATGTCTGAGAAGGTGAGAGCTTCGACCAAATGTCTTCTGACACTCCTGGCATTCATAAGGCTTCTCTCCGGTGTGAACTCTCTGGTGTATGATAAGTTGGGAATGCTGGCTGAATGTTTTCTCACACTCATTACACTCATAAGGTTTCTCTCCAACATGGATTTTCTGATGGAGCAGCAGCTCAGAGTTATCCCAAAAGGTTCTGGCACATTCATTACACTGATGGGGTTTCTCTCCAGTATGAATTCTCTGATGGACAATAAGGTGAGAGGTCCGTCTGAAAGCCTTTCCACATTCAAAGCATTCATAAGGTTTCTCTCCCGTGTGAATTCGTTCATGTCTCAGAAGTTCTGAGTTGCCCCTGAAGGCTTTCCCACATTCCTTACATACATAGGGTTTCTCACCAGTATGAATTCTAATATGTCTAATAATTTCTGAGTTCTGACCAAAAGTTTTCCCACATTCATTACATTCATAGGGTTTATCCCCTGTATGAATTCTTTGATGCCGGATAAGTTCAGAACTCTGACCAAAGCCTTTCCCACATTCGTTACATAGATATGGTTTCTCCCCAGTATGAATCTTCTGGTGTCTAATAAGACCTGAACTATGCTTAAAAGCTTTGCCACACTCATTACATTCATGATATCTTTCTTCAGTATGAATTCTCTGATGCTGAATAAGCTGTGAGCTAACCCTAAAGGTCTTCCCACACTCATTACATTCGTATGGTTTCTCTCCAGTGTGGATTCGCTGATGTAGAATAAGGGCTGAATTCTGACTGAAGGCTTTACCACATTCTTCACATTTATATGGTCTCTCGCCAGTATGAATTCTGTGATGATGGATAAGATGTGAACTCTGAATGAAGGCCTTTCCACATTCATTACAAGCAAAGGGTTTTTCTCCAGCATGAATTCTCAAGTGCCTTCGAAGGCTTGAGTTAGTTCCAAATGTCTTTCCACATTCTTTGCATTCAAAGGGTTTCTCTCCACTGTGAACTCTCATATGCTGGATAAGATGGGAGTTCTGATTAAAGGCTTTCCCACATTCTTTGCATGTATGAGGCTTTTCTCCCACAGGATTCCTCAGTGTTTTGTTAGGTTCGGAATTCTCTATGAAATTTTGACCAGAGGTAGCAAATGTACTAACTCCCTCTACTGCTGTTTCTCCCTGATATGTAACCAGATTTGGGCTGGGACTGTAGGCTCTCCCACTCTCATTATACTCCTGGTCTTCCTCACTTGAGGGTGATCTCTTAAAGATAATTGACTCTGATGCAAAATCTCTCTCCTGAAGAGATATCTGCTCTACAATTTCTTCTGTGGACTCTTTGAAATGTCCCTCCAACATGTGTTCTTCACATGCTGCTCCAAACTTACGACCCTGGTAAACCACCTTTGGAAATTTTTCTAATATTGCCCCATGTGGCTCATATTCTTCAGAAATTTCTTCCTTTGGAATCACCTTGTTCTCAGTCCCCATCTCAATCTGAAATGAGAGAAGGGAAGCATGTAAAGTGGCCATATCATATTTAAATGAAGCTAATACCTAAAAGTATGGAGTTTTGACATGGTTCTGACACTATTCAAAAACAGCCTAGGTACCTGATGAAATGGCAGGATGCTGTTGCAGAGAGACACTTTGGATTATGGTGCACATGCTGAACAATGAGCATACAATAACTAAAAAGGATGGAAGAATGATAAGAGGAAGAGGTTTAAGGAGAGAAATAGGAAATGGATTGTAAAAGGAGGGGCTGTTAAAAGTTACATAATATTAACAGTGAGTTGAGGTGCAACCTGAGGTTAGTAAGGAAAATGATAGCCAAACTAAGTAAGTGGGAATATGGAAAAGATGGGAGAAGTGGTCAAACTGGCAAGTTACATTTTGCTGAGTGAGGTAAGTCAATTGCAAAAGGGCAAATACTGTTATGGTTTTGCATTTATGAAATAAGCAAATAGGAGGGAGGGGAAACAAGAGGGCCAAAATATGACCTTGACTATATCCAACTGAATTTAGAGATCATCTGAAGAGTAGATTTGATGCATTAGACACTAAAGACCAAAGACCAGAAGAGTTGAGGGATGACATCACGAAAATCATACAGGAAGAAAGCAAAAGATCATTGAGAGAAGACAAGAGAGAAGGAAAAGACCAAAATGGATGTCAGAAAAGACTCTGAAACTTGCTCTCCATCATAGAGATGCTAAAGCAAATGGAAGAAGTGAGGAGGTACAAGGGCTGAACAGAAATTTTCAAAGGTCAGCTCAAGAAGACAAAGTCAAATATTGTAACAAAATGTGCAAAGACCTGGAGTTGGAAAACCAAAAGGGAAGAACATACTCAGCATTTCTCAAGTTTAGGGAACTGAAGAAAGGATTCAAACCTCAACTTGAGGTATTGATTCTATGAGCAAAATTCTGGATGATGAGGAAAGCATCAAGAGAAGATGGAAGGAATACACAGAGTCACTGTACCAAAAAGAAGTGGTTGATGTTCAACCATTTCAAGAGCTAGCAAATGATCAAGAGCCAATGATACTAAAGGAAGAAGTCCAAGGTACACTGAGGTCATTGGCAAAGAACAAGGCACTGGGAATTGATAGAATACAAATTAAAATCTTTCAACAAAGTGATGCGGCATTCGAAGCATTCACTCATCTATGCCAAGAAATTTGGAATACAACTACCTGGCCAAAGACTGGAAGAGATCTGTATTTGTGCTCATTCCAAAGAGAGGTGACTCAACAGAATGCAGAAATCATCAGATAATATCAGTTATATCCCATGCGAGTAAAGTTTTACTGAAGGTAATACAGGAACAGCTATAACCATACATTGACAAAGAACTTCCAGAGGTTCAAGCCAGTTTCAGAAGAGGATGTGAAACGAGGGACATCATTGCTGATGTCAGATGGATCTTGGTTCAAAGTAGAGAATACCAGAAAGATGTTTACTTGTGCTTTATTGACTATGCAAATGCTATCGATTGTGTGAATCATGACAAGCTATGGACAACATTGCAAAGTATGAGTATTCCAGAATACTTAATTGTGCTCCTGAGGAACCTGTGCACAGACCAAGAGGCAGATGTTCAGACAGAACAAGAGAACAATGAATGGTTTAAAACTAGGAAAGGTGTGCGCCATGGCTGTATTCTTTCACCATACTTATTCAATCTATATGCTGAGCAAATAATCAGAGAAACTGGATTGTATAAAGAAAAATGTGGCATCAGGATTGGAGGAAGGCTCATTAACAACCTGTGATATGCAGACTATACAACCTTACTTGTTGAAAGGATTTAAAATACTTATTGATGAAGATCAAAGACCACAGCCTGTGGTATGGGTTGCATCTAAATGTAAAGAAAACAAATATCCTCACCACTAGATCAATAAATAACATCCATATAATTGGAGAAAAGATTGAAGTTGTCAATAACTTCAATTTGCTTGGATCAACCATCAACACTCATGGAAGCAGTAATCAAGAAGCCAAATGACATTGCACTGGGCAAATCTGCTGCAGAAGTTCTCTTTACAGTGTTAAAGAGCAAAGATGTCAGTTTGAGGACTAAGGTGTGCCT